GTTGTTTTTTTTTTTTTTTTTTTGTTCGCTTGTCCGCATGAAAACTAGTTATTCAGATATGCCGAGAGAGTCGAGATTGCGTGTAACGCGTTACATTCTGACGTCATTTTTAACCAAACACAGCTCACTCCTTGGGTGACGTATCATACATACGTGCGAAGTGTAGTATATAATACTCATATTAAAATTTGTTTTCTATCGTGTGTATTACTTCCGCGATTATATCAAAAAAACCGAAATACAAAATAAAGTCGCACACTTGCATACAAGATCCTTATTTTTATAGTGGAATTTCTATTACACGCGACGCGGTATGTTTTTTCGACAATTCGATCGTTACCTGTCGATTATAACGAGAAAAATATCAGGAATGTAAATTCAGATATAAGACATACTTGCACTTGAGTGTTTAATTAATATCGTTATTAACATAATCACGATTCTCGATTCTTCTTCAATCCTATCCTCTTTTTGCACATTACTTGTTCTCGATATGTCTCGAGCACCTCGTTAACATTCACGTAGGCTTAGCGCGTCTATACGCGACCGCATTGTGCCAATCGTCGAAAAAGAAAACTCTATCCAGATCTATAAGAAGCAAAATACGACCTTACCTACCTTCTCATTACATTTACTCGGAGTGCTTACTCGCATCGAATCGCTCGAAGAACCGCTCGATTCACAATGCATACGACCATTTATCGCAAGTGCTTATCATTTCGAGCAAAGTAATTATCAAAGGATTATTTTTTTGCGCGCGAGTATGGAAATCGACTTACATGTTGGTTGGAATAAAAATCAGTAGTGCGGAATATGCGCGAAATAGAATCTCGTATGTGCGGGAGTGAGGATGATACCGGTCGAACGAGTAACCAGCGGAGCTTTTACCGCAAGTTTGACTTTGCAAGCGAGCGTAAACGTAAATTGCGACGTAAATTTGAATGTATGACGCGATTCACGCGGTAGTTCGAGCTCGGATGATCGCGGAATGTTCCGCACGAACTTGCTTTATTTTTCGCGTTTATGCGAAGTTAACGCTCCGACATCACGAAAGTATGATTCTGGCGAGATCAGAAGTTTCTGTCTATTTCAGTTGTAAATTTTTATAAAAGTTACTTTACTATGTTGTTTGGCTTTTCCCCAAAGTATTTACAATACATAGCTATAACTTTTCCCTCTCGCCTTTTGTTTCAAGCAATAGAATTCAGCCATTTTCTATAAACTATATCTAAAAACTCGAAATATATAAAATGAAATCGACCCCCGCCGTCGATTTGTTCCGACCGTCGGTGTGACGTACGCGTAGTGATGCCTACGCATTTGCACGCGATTTCTTCCGGTGGTATGTACTACGTGGGCACTCGCGAAAGCGCATACGCATACTTTGTCGCGGCGCACGGAAACCGCCTCCGCGCGTCCGGATTGCACTCCTCTACTTGGATACTCCGCGGCGGATATACAACCGGCAATGTATGGTCGCGGCATGCTTCGAAGATCGAGAAAGGGGGAAAAAAAAAAAGGAAAATCAGACGGTAGTGAGAGGTAGGAGAGAGAGAGAGTCAGAAACGATGTGTCTCGTTGTGCGAAGTAATTGACGAGTTCGCGTGTAGGCGGTCGGGCGCCTAGATCGCCTCGAGCGCACCATAGGCTTATCCCCAGAGAAACGAAAAACGAAACGAAACGAGCAGTCCCGATGGGCGAGCGCGAAATCGCGAAGGAGAGAGAAAAAGAAAGAGGAGGAGGAGGAGGAGGAGGAGGAGGAGGAGGAGAGGGCTTCTCTTCGTAAAGGAGAGGCGAAGAAACGAGACGTTGCCGGAGCGAGAGAATAAGATGGCAGAGAGAAGCACAACGAGAGAAGAGAGGAGAGACCC